TGTAGCGGGTCGTGTTGAAAATGATATTCACTGTAGCGGGTCGATGAAAATGATATTCACTGTAGCGGGTCGATGAGAACCAAAATTTTCTTGGGGTATATGAACTGTGAAAAGGCTTGCCGTGGGTATAGTTAAGATCCGGTTCCTCCTGCTCGGGAGGTGAGATTCGATGAGGAAGGAGCAGGAGAGTTGAAGACAAGGGAAGTGAAGCCGGCCGTTGAGAACCCAAAAATTTTTTCTTGGGGCGAGGGCGGTGCCTCCCTATTCCACCCTTCCCTTCGTCTGTTAAACAAGTGTAAACAAAATTTCCTTCCCAGCGGCAGCGGTGGGAATCGGCGACGGAGATATTCTCCCATCTGTTTTCCCTTCCCTTTTTTCATTTCGAACAAATTTTCCCTTTTTTCTCGCGTGGGAGCGACAGTAACCAATGATAATTTAGACTCGAACAAAAAACATATTGCAGCAGACACGCAAAACCAACACTTTTTACAGAAAGCGGGATTTGATTACATAACGATTACGGGTGGAAATTACAATCTAATCAAGGATCTCAAGCGAAGCGACGATCCGAAGAAATGCGAATATTTTTACCAGCAGTTTGTTCTTAATGTATGCTTTTTTGTTGATTATTCTGAAATAAAAGTCTTTAGCTTCAGACCATTTGCTTTATAGCAGTGGCGTATATAACGTTCAGAGAAGGTGCGTGCACTTCTAATTTGTGTCCTAAAGACCAGACATTATGTCGAAATAAAGAAGGAGGGAAAAAACGAGAATAACAGTGAAATCTTACTACCTTTAGAACTTATTATTTTAGATCAAAAATCACTTAACGAGAACGAAACTGTTCATGAACGGCGGCTTTGTACTGCTTTCGGATATGGTTGGTGCAGTGCATAATGGCTGGGCTGCTGGAGTGTCGCTTGCAAGGCCAGTGGCTGCAGAGCCAGGTTACCCCGAAGCTTTTTGATTTTTATTCGTTTTTATGCATTTTTGCGGTGCAGCTATAACGCTGTTACAGCGAGCAAAAACACATATTGTTGAGAAGTCGTTTGTGTGTGTGTTCGGTAGCGAGTAAACTTTGTCACCTACTTTCAACTCTGCAACCAGAAAAGCTGGAAGACTGAAATTTTGGAG